GCCGGGGCCGGGGCCGGGGTGGGGGCATGCGGGCGGGGCCGCGGCCCGAGCTTCTCCAGGCGCGGGGTGACACCCGCGGCGCTGCGCAGGGCGCCCGCAAAGTTACTTTGGCCGCCTTTGCCGGGTGCGGGTGGCCGGGCCGCGCGCCCCAGGCATCCGGGCTGCCGAGCGGGTACGGACTGGAAGGGGACTCGGCCGGGGCGCGGGGCGCGGGACTCTGGCCGGCCGCGAGGTCAGCGAAACTTTTCGCCCGCTCGCCGAGCGCTGTTGGTTACTGCAGGAGTGGCCGGCAGAGAAGCGGGCTGGTGGGGTGCAAGCAGCGATGCCCGTGGTAACAATAGCTGTCTTGGGCCACGGGGAGCCTACTGTGCACCCCTGAAGCCTCTGGGCACTTGGCGGGATGGGGGAAATGCTGCTCTAGTGCCCACTTTGGGTAAGCATTGCTGGAAACTTCGTCCGGTTCCACCCATCCATCCACCCATCCATCCATCCACCCATCAACCACCCACCCCTCCACCCATCCATCTATCCATCCATCTTATCCATCCATCCATCCATCCATCTATCCATCCATCTATCCATCCATCCACCCATCGACCCACCCACTCACCCATCCATCCATCCATCCATCCACCCATTCATCTATCCATCCATCCATCCATCCATCCATCCATCCATCCATCCATCTATCCATCCACCCACCTGTCCATCCATCCATCCATCCATCCATCCATCCATCCATCCATCCATCCACCCACCCATCCATCCATCCACCCACCCACCCACCCATCCACACATCCACACATCTACCCACTTGCTCATTCACTCAACACATATTTACTGCAGTCTGCTCTGTCCCCAGCTGGGGACTCAGTGACTAACCAGACAAGTCCCAGGCCTCAAAGGCAGTATTTCACAGGCTGCCCGTGCTAAGGAGCGGCTCTGTCTCTTGTGTATTTATTCGGGGACTTTATAGGAGAGAGATTCATACACAGTGAATTCTCCCTGGCCACAGTAGGGACAGAGGGGGCTGTGCCCAGGAGGCAGCCAGCCTTGGGCTTCAGGACCCCCCTCTGGGTGCAGGCTGGGTGGTGCTGTGGGGTGAGGAGTGCCTGTCCCCCACCTTGTCCAGCTGACCTTCCCCGGTGTCTCTTCCTTAGAGCTGGGCTGGCCCCTCTCCCAGCACCCCCAGCCCCGGCCTGAGAGCTTGGCTGCCCCCGCCTCCCTATTCCCACTGAATGGCTGGAGGAGGGTTTGCTAAGTGGAAAACAATTACGAAATTAAAGTGAGGGAACAAAAGTGAATGGCCGAGGAGCTGGCTGGGCAGCAGCTGAATGGTGCTGGGGACTTGTTAGCGGGGTCTGCTGAGGGTGTGTGACCATGGAGGCAGCTGGACACCAATGCCATTCATGCCTGATGGCCTTAGCTGGAGGGAAAAGAAATGCAAGCGACTTGCCAAGCGACCTCTCACCTGGCTATTCCCATGAGGCTGCTGTCTGAGCTTCTGTCCCAGCTGGAGGCCAGGCCTTGGTCCACAGGAAGCCCTTTGCGGAGAGGGCTTGTGGGTTTGGCTGGGCTGAGGCAGGGGAGAACGTGCCGGAGCTTTGGAGTGGTGGAGCTGGGGAACAGTGCGGAGCAAGACGCAGTCTACAGGGGACGCCTGTGTGGGAACCATGCATAACAAACCGCTTCCCAACGCCCAGCTCCCTGCAAATTGGCTTTCCGAGTGGCAGCCCCTCAACACTTGTAAAATCTTTTTTCTCAAGATGGATTTCGGTGAAATGGTTACAGCTCTTCAAGCGCTCGCTCGGTGGAGGTGCATTAATTGGCCGATGGCTACTGGGAGGGCGATGAGCCAGGCATGCACCAGAGGCTTCATGGAGTGTTCCAAAGCTGTTCGGCATGAGGCTGCCTGTCTCCTCCACCACCCCAGGAATTTCGAAAGACCTGGATTGAATCAGACCCCTGGTAATGCTGATGTACCTCCTGCACAGGGGATGAGGTACTGGGGATGCCACCCTGGGTGGTGCTCTTAGGACCTCTCAGGCCCACTGTGGCTGGTGCCCTCTGGTTTGCATTTATGGACAATAAAACAGTTGTAGATTTAGGTGAAAGATGAGAATTTTGGGGTTTCTTCCCAGTGCTCAAAGTACACCAGGAACACACAAAGCAAAGTGAGTAAGGCTATCCATTCTCCCCTGAACTTGCTGCCTGTCTTGCTAGAAGCGCGGGAAGTGTGTGTGTGGGGGTCCTCTTCTGTCCTCCCCACCATAGGAAACATCTCTCTTTACTTGGAGGAAGGAGAGCTGGTTGCCGGATTTCATGGAAGGGGAACCTGCTTGAAGAAAAATCAGCATTTTGGATACAAGTTCTGGACTTGGAAAATAAAAAGAAAATCCAGACCAAAGCACAGTCATCTTTTACCACAGTGCCCCTGCTTGTCTGACCCCAACCTCATGAACTGAGCATAAGTGAGGCAGAGGAAATTAATCGGCCAGGCAAAGACTTTTAACCAGTAAATATTACGCACAGAAAAAATACAATTAGTGGAGGTTAGTGGATGCTTTTCAAGTCACTTGGACTGTAGCTAAGGGTGGAATTTCTGTGTCATCCCTTGATTGTCTGTCAAAGTCTTTAAAGTGACAATGTGACATCTCCACCACAGCCCCTCTCTTGCAAGGAGCAAAAAAGGGTCTTTGCAGGCACCCCCTCTTTCATTCTTTTGCTCCCCTAGATCTTTCCATGTGACAGTGGTACTTTGTCTGCCTGTGGCTCTGGAGCAGAGGACCAGGGAGACAGGGCTCTCCAGCTGCTGGGACCCAGGAGTTGTGTTGTGTACCTACTGGTCAAAGGTGCTGGCCCTTCAGGTGAGACCCAGGCCTGCTGGTGGGGCCTTTCTTCTGGTCCTCCCCCTCTAAGGGCAGAGGCATCTTATGCCAACCCTCAGGGAAAGGAGGCTGTTCCCTGTAGCTGTGGCTCCCGTGTCGGACTGTCCCACACTGTGTCATCGCCACCCCACATCCCCTCCAGACTGCTACTGGAATTGTTTGTTTCTGAAGAGGTGAAAAAAAGTGTAAAAACAAACAAACAAACAAACAAAAAAAAAGGAAAAGGAGAAAAAAATAAAGAAGCCCCTCATTGCGGCAGGTATCAGATGAAAGTTAGGGGTTCCTCATTCATGAAATTCACTATTCTGTCACTCATGACCTGACTAGTCTGCAGGCAACACAAATATTTTACTTTCTTTGGACATTTTGCCTCCAGCGAGATGAGATTTAGTTATGCTCTATTTCTACTTAAAATACCTATGGCTGTTTCATAATACAGCCTTGCCCCATGGAGATAGCGTGTATTAATTTTGAGCTCAGAGTGGCTTGCCGTGTCTCCTGGTCCTTCTACGCCTTTGTGCGAATTGCTGTTTGGAGGGTTTTCTTAGATATGAGCTCGGGCAGTCTGATGGCAGAACCTGATCACTCGTCACGAACGAAGTGGCTAAAAAAATAAAAATAAAAAAATTCTCTCCTCTGGTGGATTGTGAGCCTCACAGAGTTCAGAGCCAGGCATGAGTAGGCCCCCTTCCACCACCTGCATCTACACCTGAGAGTTTATTTCTGCCGTGTAACTTGACTGTGGCACACAGGAAGACACCGCTGGCCTCACTCAGGCTAATCTCTGCACTTTCGGGAGAAAATGATGGCGCTTTCGATCCCTCACAGTCGTTGGCTCCATTTCATTCTTTTGCATTTTCCATGTGGCGCTGCAGCCTGCGAGGTGACAGAGTAGATTGCACAGGCTACCTGAGAAACATGAGCCCCTCCGGCATCCTGCCTCCTCCTTCCTAACGCAGCCCTTCCTGGTGCTTCAGGGCACGGGAAAAGGACGATGTTCCCGCCCCTCCCTGCTTGCAGGGACGGTGAGGATAGGGACTGGGCAGAGGAGTTTTGCTTTTGTAAGTCTGTTATTCAGGGATATTAGTTAATTAACCATCCTTTGGTGGCTTAATCTTTAATTGTGGATTCCCTCTGAACGCAAAAAGCATACACTTGAGCAGATCATAAACGTGGCCATGGTCCAAAAGGCAGCCCAAAGGGTAGCTCTGCCCTCGAGCCGCACTGATATGCCCCCTGACATCTGCTTCACAGGCTTCCACGGGGGCTAGAAGTCCACGGTGACTTTCTTTGCAAGTTGAACTTACATGCTGAGCTACCTGGACCATCTTGCCTGTCCCCAGCCCTGAGGCTGTTGAGTGAGAGCCACGGGTGAGCGGGTGAGCGGGTGAGCGGGGAGGGGTGAGCGGGGAGGGACGTGGGCTGCAGACTTCGTGCACCGTTGCCTCTCACTCCCTTTCGAGCCGGGCAAGTCTGCGTGCGTGGCTGCGCTGGATCCGAGCTGCTTGCCCTTCCAACTCGGCAGATGCTCGCGTCTCCGCCAGCTTTATTTTGAAAACTAGGACATAGCACTTTGCAGAAGAAAATCAGTCCACTCACTATTATTTATGTGATTGCTGGTCTGTTAGATGGATATAGAAAACGCCAAGAATTATTATAATGCATGGAGCTGGGCTCGGGTGTGCGCACACAGTTCTCTGCCCGAGCTCTCGGGCTTTTCTGCACCTCCTGCCGCCCTCTCTGCAGTGGAAGGAGAGCGTATTCAGAATTTGAAGGCAAGCCGGGTGTACCGATTGCATTCGGATCTAAAATTAAGGGAATAAGTGAGCAGCTATTTGTGGCAGACAGGACATGAGCCAGTAAGGAGCATTCCTCATCATTCTGAAATAAAAGTACGTAATTGGAAAGTGAAGCTACAGCAACTGCGGGGAGGGGCACTGAGGAAGTAGAAAGTGTAATTTAAAATCGTGTAGTCATAATTCAAAATGGGCTGAGCTAAAAGGTTTTTAAGTGGCGATGCTTTAAAGTCACTTGCGGTTGAGGCTTTCTCAAGGAATATGGGCTAATTTTCACTGTATTTGTGGAATCCTGCAGCTACTCAGTTCATCAGCTCATTCAATGGAGCCACTAATTCCAGCTGCCGGCCAGAATTTTCTGTCTGGAAGCCCCCTGTGTCTTCAGAGGGAGGTCAGGTGGAAAACCCCATCACTTCAGGACAAGCGGGGACTGGGTTAGATGTTGCTTTTCTCCTTTGAGCTGTTTGC